AAAATTTAAACAAGAAACTATATTATTCTAACAGAATACAACTTCTCTTAAGCATTCATTTGATTCATAATTGATATTTACTGGTCATTATTTAATTTCAAAGATCAACCACATATAGGGTAACAACATATGGGACATACCTTTCAATTTCCCATTAAACTCAGGGCTTGTGGCCACCTGGAGTCCTGGATGTGGTAAGAGAAAACAGGTGACATCCGAGAAACATGAGTGAATATGATTTCGAACATTCTGAATTTCTTCATGTTGATGTTCCTTGACCTGCCAACGAAGACCAACATTTTACCAACCAAACACTATTTGGTTTTCTTTGCCAGAAATCACTACTATGAGGACAAAGAAAAAACTTTCCAACTCTGATGGGTCACAATGGCCAATGAGAAAACTCAGAACCTCACGAAGCAATGAATGCGTAGTGTGACTAGCCATGCTTGACTTCCATAGCTAAAATGAACAGGTATTAAAGAATTTGTTTAAAATGTGTATTGCATAATGTTTAAGAACAAGAGAAGGTTTGTGGGCTGGAAGGAAAATATACCCAGTGAGTAGTGACTAACAAAGGACTCTTATGTGAGGCCATATAAACGGGCCTAACCTGTTTATATTCATGCCAAAGAAAGCAAATGAGATTACTGAATAGGAACAGAACTAAAATTCTGAACTTTTCTAAAGGCACACATAGAACCTGGCTTAAAAATGTGAAATGAAAATTATAACCACACTTGGGCTTTACCCAGAATTCTTCTCCGAAGTCCCAGTATTTTACATTTCCAGGTTTTTGTTTTGTTTTTGTTGGTTGTGGGACTTGATCTCTGGGCCTATACACTATCCCTGAGCTCTTCAGCTCAAGGCAAGTAGTCTACTATTTGAGCCACAACACCACTTCTGGTTTTCTGGTGGTTAACTGGAGATATGAGTCTCATGGCCTTTCATACCTGGGCTGGCTTTGAACCACAATCCTCAGATCTCAGCCTCTTGAGTAGCTAGGATTACAAGTGTGAGCCACTGGTGCCCGGCTCCAGGTTTTTAAAATTTGAAATAATAATATTGTAAGTTTATGCTTAAGATTCCTACAAGTTTAATATACTGAGTGTCATCATCAATAAACTGCCTTAAATTCCATAGCCAAAGGCAAATGAGTAATTTTTACTACTTTTAGAAAATTCCTCAGGATTATTTTCCCACTTACCTGTAAACGTTTCTCCAAAAATGCCATTCCTCCTTGTAGTCCATAGTTATATTCATAAGGGAAACTCCAGTCTCGAATTAGAAACATCAGTGTCTATTTCAGCAAAAAGTAGAACATAATACAACATAAACACATTTAAAGGTAATAATTGAAATACTTCTTTGCATAATGCCAATTTCTTTAAAGGAGGCAAACACATGTGATGAAGGACTTACCTATAGCACCATGTCTTAGAAACTTTATAAAAAACTCTACGGATGTGTTTAAGTACAAGATGAAGTCAATAGGCCCACCTGCTACTTGTGGGAATGAATCCCACAAGTTAACAGGAATAGAACAGATTGTTTAGAAAAAAAATTCAAGGGGATGGGTGAGGTTGGGAGAGGTGGAGGAAGACAATGGAAGGGTGACATTACACTCATAAGCTGGTACGTTGAATTAGAAATCCCCTTGTACAACTAAAGATAATATTTAATTTAAACTTTTTAAGTATATTAAAAACAGGGTTCTACCCTAAAAACAAGCAGGAGCAATGTAGTAAAGGACAGGAGAGAAAACATGACACTCTCAAACCATAAGATCACATCTGTTGCCAGGATTACGCCTGTAATCCTAGCTACTCAGGAGGCTGAGATCTGAGGATCGAGGTTCAAAGCCAGCCCGGGCAGGAAAGTCCATGAAACTCTTTTTTTTTGGGGGGGGTCAGGTTGTGGGGCCTGAACTCTGGGCCTGGGTGCTATCCCTCAGCTCTTCAGCTCAAGGCTAGCGCTCTACCATTTGAGCCACATCACCACTTCCGGCTTTTTTCTTTTTTGCTTATGTGGTCCTGAGGAACCGAACCCAGGGCCTCATGCATGCAAGGTAAGCACTCTACCACTGAGCCACTTTCCCAGCCCCTCCATGAAACTCTTATCTCTAATAAACCACCAGAAAACTGGAAGTGATACTGTAGCTCAAGTGGAAGAGTGCTAGCCTTGAGCTGTAGAGCTGAGGGACAGCACTCAGGCTCAGAGTTCAAGCCCCACGACCGAACAAAACAAACAAAAACAAAAACAAAAAAAAACCCACATCTGTTATTCACATTATAAAGCAGAAGATATAGTCAGGCTTGGAGCATGCCTCTAAGTCTCAGAATAGAAAAATAAAAGGGAAGGGGCTGGGAAGGTGGCTCAGTGCTAGAGCGCTTGCCTTGCATGCATGAGGCCCTGGGTTCAATTCCTCAGCACCACATAAGCAGAAAAAAGCCGGAAGTGGCGCTGTGGCTCAAGTGGTAGAGTGCTAGCCTTTAGCTGAAGAGCTGAGGGACAGCACCCAGGCCCAGAGTTCAAGCCCCATGACTGGCAAAAATAAATAAAAAATAAAATAAAAAGAAAAGGGAGGATGGGGGATAATGCTCATTGGCTGGGAGAATGGCTCAACTGACTCAAGGCTATGAGTTCAAAAACCTAGGATTCCCCTCCTCCCCCCCAAAAAAGTTCACATATTAAGGCACCTCTAGCTTTACTGAATCAGTATGCTTTTCATCTTCAAGAAATAAGTAAAGCATGGGCCAGTAAATATTTTCTGTACTGGACTAGAGAATAAGAGTTTAAACAGAGTGGCGCTGTAGCTCAAGTAGTAGAGCGCTCGCCTTGAGCTGAAGAGCTGAGGGACAGCACCCAGGCCCAGAGTTCAAGCCCCACGACCGACCAAAAAAAAAAAAAAAAAAAGAGTTTAAACAGTTCTTCAACTCTGTTGCTGTAGTACAAAGGAAGCCATGGAGCTACATAACTGTATAGCTGGCTGAATAAATGGCTGTATAACTCAGACTTGCCTAGCATGTTTGAGGCCCCTGGCTTGATTCCTAGTTCTGCATAAAGAAAAGAGAGGGAAAAGAGAGGGAAAAAATAGAGCTGGGCATGACAACACATACCTGTAATCCTCAAGGTCAGCCTGGGCTACATACATAGCAAGATCCTGTCTTTTTTTTTTTTAATTCAAAGTTATTTATTTCTCTGAAGCACTCTACCACATATATAATATTTTTGTTTGCTTTTTTATGTAGTACTGAAGAATTGAACCCAGGGCCTCATACAAGCTAGGCAAGCACTCTGCCACTAAGTCACATACCCAGCCCAAGATCCTGTCTTTAAAAAAAAAAAAAAAATCACAGGTCACTCACAGGTAGCTCACACCTGTAATCCTAGCTATTCAGGAAGCTAAGGCTGAAATCTGAGGATCTAGCCCCAGCAGAAATATCTGTGAGACTCTTACCTCCAATTAACAACAAAAAAAAACAAGAAGAAGCCGGGCGCTGGTGGCTCACGCCTGTAATCCTAGCTACTCAGGAGGCTGAGATCTGAGGATCACGGTTCAAAGCCAGCCCGGGCAGGAGAGACCGTGAGACTCCTATCTATCTCCAATAAACCACCAGAAAACCGGAAGTGGCGCTATAGCTCAAGTGGTAGAGCTGAGGGACAGTGCCAAGGCCCAGAGTTCAAGCCCCAGAGCCGACCAAAAAAAAAAATAAAACAAGAAGAAAAAAAACAAAAAAACAAACAAAAAAAAAGAATAAAACCCAGAAAGGAAGTGGCGCTGTAGCTCAAGTGGTAGAGTGCTCGCCTTGAGCTGAAGAGCTGAGGGACAGCGCCCAGGCCCAGAGTTCAAGCCCCACGACCGATTAAAAAAAAAAAAAAAAGAAAGAAGAAAAAAACAGAAGTAGGTTTGTGGTGGAAATAGAACTGTGGTTCAAGTGGTAGAGTACTAATCTTGAGCAAAAAAAAAAACAAAACCTAAGGGACAGTACTCAGGGCTTGTGATCAAGCCCTGGTACTGGCGCGCGCACACACACACACACACACACACACACACACACACACACACACACACACACACACACACACACACACACACACACACACACACACACATCCCAGACATGGTAGTACAAACCAATAATCCCAATTACTTCAGAGTTAAGGAGCAATAAAAGCCAGGTTAGAGGTATGGCTCAAGTGGTCAAGTGCTAGCCAAAAGCAAGAAAGCCAAGTAACATGGACAGCATTAAGCATGGACTATGTCAAAGCCTCAGATTAAAGAGGGTAAAAAAACAAAAACTAGGAGGTGTACATAGCTCAACTGTTCAAGCACTTGCCTAACATATGTGAGGCCCCAGTTTGGCAGTGTCAAGTTTTCTCTCGTGTCCTTTACTGCATTGCTCCAGCTTGTTTTTATTTAATACACTTTAAAATTTTTAATTAAATATTATCTTTAAGTAGTTATACAAAGGGATTTCTAATTCAACATACCAGTTTATGAGTGTAATGTCTCCTTTTCCATTGTCCTCCTCCACCTCTCTCAACATGGTAAAAATTATCAAACAATAAAAACACAGGCATACAGCCCTGTGTCAGTGGCTCATACCTGTAATCCTAGCTATTTAGAAGGTTACGGTCTGAGAATCACAGTTCAAAGCCAGCCCGGGCAGAAAAGTCCATTAAGATTCTTTTTTTTTTTGGGTCCGGTCATGGGGCCTAAACTCTGGGCCTAGGTACTGTCCCTCAGCTCTTCAGCTCAAGGCTAGTGCTCTACCACTTGAGCCACAGTGCCACTTCCGGCTTTTTTCTTTTTGCTTATGTGGTGCTGAGGAATCGAACCCAGGGCCTCAGGCATGCAAGGCAAGCGTTCTTCCACTGAGCCACCTTCCCAGCCCCAAGTCCATTAAGATTCTTATTTCATTTAATCAGCAAAAGCTAGAAATGGATATGTAACTCAAGTGGCAGAATGCCAGTGTTGAGCAAAAACATCAAGCAAGAGCATAGTCAAGCCAATATACTAAAATGGAACAACACAGAAAAGATTAGCATGGCCCCTGAGCAAGGATGACATGAAAATCTGTGAAGTGTTCCATATTCAAAAAATAAAAAAATAAAATAAAAGCTGAGTACTGGTGGTTCACACCTGTAATCCTAGCTACTCATGAGGATGAGATCTGAGGACTGTGGTTCAATATCAGCCTAGGCAGGAAAGTCCCTGAGTTTCTTTTTTTTTTTTTTGGTACGATCATGGGGCCTGAACTCTGGGCCTGGGCGCTGTGCCTTAGCTCTTCAGCTCAGGCTAGCGCTCTACCACTTGAGCCACAGCGCCACTTCCGGCTTTTTCTTCTGCTTATGTGGTGCTGAGGAATTGAACCAAAGGCCTCATGCATACAAGGCAAGCGCTGTACCACTGAGCCACCTTCCTAGCCCAAGTCCCTGAGTTTCTTATCTTCAACTAGTCACCAAAAAGTGGAAGTGGAGCTCAAGTGGTATAGTCCTAGCAATGAGCTAAAAAACTCAGGGGCAGCATCCAGGCCCTGCAGTACCCACAACAGGCACACAAAGTGTATACATGTGTGTGTGTGTGTGTGTGTGTGTGTGTGTGTGTGTGTGTGTGTGTGTGTGTGTGTGGTACACAAAGTGTATACATGTGTGTGTGTGTGTGTGTGTGTGTGTGTGTGTGTGTGTGTGTACATGTGCATATAACATCCTGGTCAGGCCTAATGGTGCATGCCTATAATGCCACCACTCAGAAGGGTGGGGCAGGAGGAGTTTAAAGCCAACCTGGGCTCTACAGTGAGATTCTGTCTTACAAAAATAAAAAACAGTGCTCATTTCTGCAGCAAATATACTAAAATTGGAACAATACAGAGAAGATTAGCATGGCCCCTGCGTAAGGATGACACACAAATTCGTGAAGTGTTCCATATTTTTAGGGATGGCAGGGGAAAAACAGAGGGGGTAATAATGCTCAATAGTAAATGGACTCATTCACTTACTTATGTAACTGTAACCCCTCTGTATAGTATCTTTACAATTATATATATAATAAAAATAAATAAATAAAAAACACCTAACTTGCTGGGTGCCGATGGCTCAGCCCTATAATCCTACTTAGGAGGCTGAGATCTGAGTATCACAGTTTGAAGCCAGCCTGGACAGGAAAGTCCATGAGACTCATCTCCAATTAACCACCAAAAAGCTAGAAGTTAAGCTGTGGTTTTCACAAAGAACAAAAAACAAAAACACTCAGGGACAGCACTCAAGCCCTGAGTCCAAGTCCCAGGAAAGTATAAGAAAATATTCTCTGGGTGCCAGTGGCTCACACCTGTAATCCTAGCTACACAGGAGGCTGAGATCTGAGGATCTAGGTTCAAAGCCAGCCCAGGCAGGAAAGTCCATGAGAATGTTATCTCCAATAAACCACCAGAATACAAGAAGTGGTACTGTGGCTCAAGTGGTAGAGCGCTTGCCTTGAGCTGAAGAGCTGAGGGACAGTGTCCAGGCCCAGAGTTCAAGCCCTACAACTGACAAAAAAAAACAAAACTCAACTTTCAAGCCATATAAAAATAGGCAGCAGGCCAGGTTTGACCTGTGAGCTATGGTTTGCTGATCTGTGAACCAAAACCAAGACATGCATTATGTTCATAGCTAATACATTACCTGGAAGGGTTTTTGGAAAATTTCATCCATTGCCAGACGACCGTATTCTGTAAAGAGCTATAAAAACAACAACAACAAGAGTTATGGTTTGTAAGGCAAATTTAGTTAATATAGTTCTGTGCTATTCTTTAGCAAAGTACTTATTTAGCAGACTGGATATTAGTATTGAAACCACAGTTCCATAGCTTAAAAAGCCCACAGGAGCTTAAACTGTCATGAACCTTAAAATGGTCTTGATTATTTCTCTATTTTCCATATCCCAATTCATCAGCAAATCCAGAATCCAACCACTTATCAGTTCCACATAGCCTGGAATACTCAACAGCATCCTAAATATCCTTACCTCAGCTCTGCCTTCCCACAGACTATTCTCAAGACAGCTACCACAGTGGTTCTGTTACAAAAACATGGTTGCTGAAACACAGCACACTTCTGCTCACAACATTACACCCTCATTCAGTCTCCAGCCACTATGGATCACTGTGCCTCAAACAAGTGGACATGCAGCTGCCTGAGGGCCTTTGTTCTGGCTTCTCCTTCTGCCTATATAGTGTTCTTCCCACAAACAGACTTGGAATCAGCTCCCTCATTTTCTCACATCTTTATTCACATGGCTCCTTCTCAGTGAACCCTCCCATGACCATCTACCTAAAGGATTACAATTTTCTAGACAGTATTTCCTACCTCCATCATTTTTTAAAGTATTATTAGCACCAACTAGTTAAACACAGGGAATTCATTTTGATATGTCCATTTATGCACACATGTAACTTGGTCAGACTCACCTCCTCAACCCTGTCACCTAATATACTCCTACCTTTACTTGTCGGGACTAGTGTCAATTTTCTCCATGAGCATTTAAGTCCCACAGGACAAGAACATTTGCCTTTTTATTCACTCTGAGCCCACAATATTTACCCCATCCAGATTCCTGAATGGATTCATTAAGATTATAATGTACATGTATCATCACCTTTTTCTTCATAAACCTCACTAAAAACAAAAAACAAAGCTTAAATGTTACACAATCAAAGGACAAGGAAGAAAGGAAAAGCCACGAATGCTATGAAAGGAAAATAAACAGGCAAGAAATGTCAAGAAACAAGTAGATTCTCTACCAGACATGCTGATACATACCTGTAATCCCAACACTCAGGAGGCAAAAACAGTAAGGTGACAGAGGTCAGTCTAGATTACAAAGTGATATACTGCCTCAAAGAGAAAGAGGGAAAGAGAGAGAGACAGACAGAAAGAGAGAAAGAGAGAAAGACAGAGAGGCAGAGGCAGAGGTAGAGAGAGAAGTGGGGGGAATGGAATGGAATAGAATAGACCAGAATAGAACATTCTCTCAGTAGAATCTCTAAAAGAAGTCTGGGAAATAATAAATGCCCATACCCTGCATCATAGGTATGAGAAATGTTTGTGACTCTCTGGGAAGACCACCTACACCCCCAGGTTCCTAACCTCTCAGCCCTATCTTCTTCTTGCCCTCACAGAAATGTTGAACTAGAAAGACCAAAGAAAAACAAAACACTAAAGCAGGGTACCAGTGACTTGGGTCTGTAATCTGGGAGGCTGAAATAAGAAAGACTGAAGCTGGGCGTTGGTGGCTCCTGCCTGTAATCCTAGCTAATCAGGAGGCTGAGATCTGAGAATCAAAGTTCAAAGACAGCTTGGGCAGGAAAGTCCATGAAACTCTTATCTCCAATAAACCACCAGAAAACAGGAAGTGGCACTGTGGCTCAAGTGGTAGAGCGCTTGCCTTGAGCTGAAGAGCTGAGAGGGACAGTGCTCAGGCCCAGAGTTCAAGCCCCACAACTGACCAAAGGAAAAAGAAAAAAAATAAAGATTGAGGTTGTAGACCAATGCAGTCGAGAAAAGTTTATACACCTGTCCTATCATCTCAGCAATAAAAAGTAGGCAACTTGAGATAAGTGAGTCTCTAACTCAAAACAACAACAAAAGTAACAGCTTGGCACTAATGGCTCATGTCTACAATCCTAAGATACTCAGGGGGGTGAGGATCCCAGTTCTAACCTCCAATTAACTAGCAACAAAGCCAGAAATGCCAGGTGCTCGTGGCTTATACCTACAATCCTAGCTACTCAGGAGGTTGAGATCTGAAGAGTATGATTTGAAGCAAGCCTAGAGTAGGGAAGTCCATGAGATTCTTATCTCCAATTAACCTCAAAAAAAAAAAAAAAAAAAAAAGAAGAAAGCACGCGCACGCACACGCACACGCACACACACACCCCAGAAGTGGAGGTGAGGCTCAAATTGAAGAAAGTCAGCACGCACACGCACTCACACGCACACACGCACGCACGCACGCACGCGCGCACACACACACACACACACACACACCAGAAGTGGAGGTGAGGCTCAAATTGAAGAAAGTCAGCACGCACACGCACTCACACGCACACACACACACACACCAGAAGTGGAGGTGAGGCTCAAATAGAAGAAAGTCAGCACGCACACGCACACACACACCAGAAGTGGAGGTGAGGCTCAAATAGAAGAAAGTCAGCACACACACACACACACACACACACACACACACACACACACACACACACACACACACACACACACACTCCCCAGAAGTGGAGGTGAGGCTCAAATAGAAGAAAGTCAGCACACACACACACACACACACACACACCCCAGAAGTGGAGATGAGGCTCAAATAGAAGAAAGCACACACACACACACACACACACACACACACACACACACACACACCCCAGAAGTGGAGGTAAGGCTCAAATAGAAGAAAGCCAGCCAAAAGTGAAAGAAAAAAAGCTGAGTGGAGAGCAAGAGTGCAAGATTCTTGGTACTGGCATGCACCCACAACCACACAAGTACACACTAATACACACACCCACACAGTAAAATCCAGGGTTGGACACATGGCTCCAGCTATAACAATAGTGAGACCCTGAGTTTAAATCCTAGTACCACAACCAAAACAGTCTAGGCCAGACATGGCAGTGCATTAGTACATGCCTATATCCAAGCTCCTTGAGAAGCAAAGCTAGGAGGATCAAGGTTCAAGGCCAGGTAGTAATACCCTTTCTCAAAAACAAGCCAAGCATGATAGTGCAGACCTGTAATCTCAGCTACTTAGTAGGCAAAGGAGGACTGCCATCCCAGGCCAGCTCCAGCAAAAGCTTTAGACAAGCAAAAAACAAAAGGACCAGAGGCAGGACAAGTCTATGGTAGAACATATACATGCCTAGTAAGCATGAGGCCTTGAATTCAATCCCCACTGATACCCGCCCCCCGCCACCCCCCCAAAAAGTGAGTACATATATATATACAAATATAATACAGCCTTGGATACCAAACTCTAAGGTTAGATGCCCACTGTCTTATTGGAAAGTACTCAAACCCAAGTATACATATTGAACAGCAAGTTCCTTAACTTTCT